GTGGTGAGCAAAGCTAGCAAGTTTTAGAACAATATTGTTGAAAACAAATAATACAATATTATATATTTTATGGGTACATGTCTATGTGGTGATATTATAAAAATGCATGGGAATGACAGACAGTGACGGGATAGGGTCCCCGCTGGGGAGACAGGAAGGAGCAGAGGACAAGGGAGAGGAGTACAGGGAGTTTCAACTGTTCTGCTAGATTACCCAAAGCAAAAAGATTTGCTTGAGCTTGGTAGTGGACAAAGGGATCTTTATTTTATCATTCTCTGTATTTTTCTTTACATTTGGAATATTTCAGAAATTTTAAAAAGGTAGTGAATTGAAAGCCAAATAAAAATGCTCTGGGCATAATTTTTAAAGCCACATTTGAACCACACTACATCCCCAAAATTGCTACCGAAAGAGTTATTTCGCTTTGCTCCAACAAATATTTACTGAGTGTTTAGTCTTTGTGGGACTCTGGGGTTTTGCTGAGGTCACCCCGGAGAAGCAAGCAGACTCAACGCTGCCTTTGTGGGGCTCAGAGTCTCCCACGTAGACAGGTGCTGGGCTGTAAGGAGTGGGGCATCATGGGAAACAGACGCACTGGGTCTGATGCCCAGAAGGCAGCAGACGAGCTGACCCGGCAACTCTGCTCTAAGTGTTACCTCACGAAATTGGGGTTCTCTTGCCCAGTGCTCATAAAAAAAAAAAAGCCAATTAGTACAGCATCAGCTTTTGGGAAAAGAAATGTAGCTTTATTTTGTGAGATCTGCAAGGAGACAGGAGGCATGTGCCCTCAGATCTGTCTCCCTGATCCAGGGCTTGGGCACTACTTACGGGATGAGGGGCAGGGCAGTCTGAAGTGCGGGAGTAGACGATCGGAGGAAGGGAGACGTGAGGTGATTGATGATCTGCGCAGGCGTAGTCAAGCTTCACGGCTCTTCACAGGATGCGTGTTCACAAAATGGAGGCCTGACCGTGATCCGAGGGTGGAGTTTTTAGCTCCTTGACACCAAAGAGATCACTTATTGAGCATTTGCAAAGTCTCAGTCGATGAGTTGGTGATCTCAACTGGCCTCAAGTGGACAAGGGGTCTCAATTCCTGAAAGACAACTCTTAATTTTTTTAAAAGATTATTTTATTGAAGTCGTGTTGGTTTATAACATTGTGTAGTTTCAAGAGGACATTACCATCTGTCAGTTTCTTATAGACTGCATAGTGCCCACCACCAATAGTCTACATTTTCTTTTTAAGATTTTATTTTTTTCCTTTTTCTCCCCAAAGACCCCCGATACATAGATGTATATTCTTAGTTTTGGGTCCTTCTAGTTGTGGCATATGGCATGCCACCTCAGCATGGCCTGATGAGCAGTGCCATGTCCACGCCCAGGACTTGAACCAGGGAAACCCCAGGCCACTGCAGCAGAGCACATGAACTTAACCACTCAGCCACAAGGCTGGCCCCACCAATAGTCTGCTTTTTATCTTTCACCATACATATGTGCCCCTTTACCCCTTTTGTCTACCTCCCCACCCCATTCCTCTCTGGTAATGATTAATCTGTTCTCTTTATCCATGTGTTTGTTTATCTTCCACATATGAATAAAATCATACAGTGTCTGTCTTTCTCTGTTTCTCTTATTTCACTTAGCATCATACCCTCAAGATCCATCCATGTTGTCACAAACGGCATGACTTTGTCATTTTTTATGGCTGAGTAGTATTCCATTGTATATATATATACCACATCTTCTTGATCCATTCATCCGACAATGGGCACTCGAGTTGCTTCCATGTCTTAGCTGTTGTGAATAATGCTGCAACAAACATAGGGCTGCATAAATCTCGTTGTATTGTTGATTTCATGCTCTTTGGATAAATACCCAGTAGCAGGATAGCTGGATTGTGTGGTATTTCAATTTTTAATTTTTTTGAGAAATCTCCATACTGTTTTTCATACTGACTGCTCCAGTTTGCATCCCACCGGCAGTGGATGAGGGTTTCCTTTTCTCCTCATCCTCTCCAACACTTGCTATTTCTTGTCTTGTTAATTATAGCCATTCTGAGGGGTGTGAGGTGGTATCTCGTTGTAGTTTTGATTTGTGTTTCCCTAATAATTAGTGATGCTGAGCATCTTTTCATGTGCCTGTTGGCCATCTGTAGGTCTTCTTTGGAAGAATGTCTGTTCGTGTACTATCCATGTTTTGATAGGTTGTTTCTTTTTTTGTTGTTGAGTTGTATGAGTTCTTTATATATTTTGGAAATTAACCCCTTGTCAGATATGTGATTTGCAAAAATTTTCTCCCAGTTGGTGGGTTGTCTTTTTATTTTGTTCATGATTTTCTTTGCTTTGCAGAATATTTTTAGTCTGATGTAGTCCCATTTTTAAATTTTTTCTTCTATTTCCCTTGCCTGAGTAGACATGGTATTTGAAAAGATGCTGCTAAGCCTGATGTCAAAGAGTGGACTGTCTCTATTTTCTTCTAGGAGTTTTATGGTTTCAGGTCTTACCTTCAAGTCTTTGGTCCCTTTTGAGTTTATTTTTGTGTGTGGTGTAAGATAATGGCCTACTTTCATTCTTTTGCACATGGCTGCCCAGTTTTCCCAGCACCATTTGTTCGAGAGACTTTCCTTTCTCCATTTTATGCTCTTGGCTCCTGTGTCAAAGATTAGCGGTCCATAGATGTATGGTTTTACTTCTGGGCTTTCAATTCTGTTCCATTATCTGTGTGTCTATTTTTGTGCCAGTACCATGCTGTTTTGATTACTATAGCTTTGTAGTATGTTTTGAAGTCGCGGATTGTGATGCCTCCAGCTTTGTTCTTTTTTCTCAGCATTGCTTTGGCTATTGGGTTTCTTTTGTTGTTCCATATAAATTTTAGGATTCTTTGTTCTATTTCTGTGAAGGATGTCATTGGGATTGCATTGAATCTGTAGATTGCTCTAGGTAATATGGACATTTTAACTATATTTATTCTTCCAATCCATGTGCATGGAATATCTTTCCATTTCTTTATGTCATCATTGATTTCTTTCAATAATGTCTTATAGTTTTCAGGGTATAGGTCTTTCACCTCCTTGGTTAAATTTATTCCTAGATATTTTATTCTTTTTGTTACGATTGTAAATGAGATTGTATTCTTGACTTCTCTTTCTGCTAGTTTGTTATAGTGTATGGAAATGCAACCGATTTTCATAAGTTGATTTTTTACCCTGAAATTTTGCTGTAGTTGTTGATTATTTCTACTAGTTTTGTGATGGATTCTTTAGGGTTTTCCATATGTAGAATCATGTCATCAACAAAGAGCAAGAGTTTGACTTCTTCCTTTCCAATTTGGATGCCTTTTATTTCTATTTCTTGCCTAATTGCTTTGTCCAAAACCTCCAGAACTATGTTGAAAAGGAGTGGCAAGTGTCTTGTTCCTGTTTTCAGAGGAATGGCTTTCAATTTTTCACCATTAAGTATGATGTTGGCTGTGGGTTTGTCATATACGGCCTTTATTATGTTGAGGTACTTTCCTTCTATACCCATTTTGTTGAGATTTTTATCACAAATGGATGTTGGATCTTGTCAAATGCTTTCTCTACATCTATTGCGATGATCATGTGATTTTTATTCCTCATTTTGTTAATGTGGTGTATCACATTGATTGATTTGTGAGTGTTGAACTATCTCTGTGTCCCTGGTATAAATCCCACTTGATCATGGTGTATGATCCCTTTAATGTATTGCTGTATTCACTTTGCCAATATTTTGTTGAGGATTCTTGCATCTATGTTCGTCAGTGATGTTGGCCTGTAACTTTGCTTCTTTGTGTTGTCCTTGCTCAAAGACAACTCTAAATTACTCTCTTGAAAAGATGGGGTCAGTGGAACTGGTCCTGGAGGGCTAGCAGTTACACAAGTGATTACGATCACGTTCTCCCAGGAGTATGAACTGGGAAATGTGAGGGAGGAGAGCAGATGTCAGGGAGGGCCCCACCTGAAGTGTTAAGAGTTAGGAACCAGCCTCTGGCTAGGAGGGCATGATTGGCCGTGAGAGCGCAGGAGTTATGAGGTGGAGAGGAGACACACAGCCCCAAGGAGAAGGGAGGAAGCGCAAGGAAAAGCAGGGACAGAGAGTGTGGCTGAGTCACTTCAAAGAGGAGCTCAAGGTCCAGCTGATGAAAGGAGCCCAGATAACCTGCCCCAGCTCTGCACAGGATGCCAAGTGACAGCTGGAGAACTCTGCTTCTCCAGGCCTCGCTCATCCTGCAAACTCTGGCTGACCTGGGCTTGGTCTGATGGAAGGAGGGACATTAGGAGAAGCTCAGGGCTCTCTGAGAGATGCCACTGCTGCGGCAGCTCCTGTGGTGCCGTAGGCAACAACCTCAGACTTACTCAGAAGTCAGCCTTGCCTCGGGTGGGAGCGCATTTCTGGATGCACAGACCCTCTCCGGGTCCTCTACTGGTTGTTGGACTTCTAACCAAATAAAGAATCTCTCACATATTTCAAACACAACCCAAAGTGTGGTTTCTTCGAAGCAGCCTAGTTCCAGCTCTGTAACGGCCAGGGCTCCCCAGGCTTTCCGTAGCGCCTGTTTGCTCAGCTTGTCCTGGGTCCTCTGGGTCCTGCTGTGCAGCAGAGACGCCTTTTCCCTGTGGCTGTGAGTGTCCAACAGGACAAACCTGACAGTCCTCGAGTGGCAGCAAGGACAGGGGTGTTGGAGCGTTGTTCCTCGGGACGGTTGCCGTGCATTAGGTCTGGCTCTGCACCCTGGGCAGGACACGGACCCTCTCTTGTGCCTCAGCTTCCTCTTCTGCAGGTGAGGAAGCCATGGCACCCTCACAGGAGCAGATGAGTTAGTACCTGGGAGGTGTGCAGGATGGCTGACACCCAGGAATTATTGCTTTTGTTGACTGTCATCATTGTTGTGGTTTTCATCACATAACATGAATCTGTATTCCTTGATACCAAAAGAGCTAGTCTATAAAGAAAAATAATATTTTCTTCCTCTTTCTTTTTGCAGCAAAAATTATGTTATACCTTTGCAGTGCAGTAGCCCTGTAGATTTCGAGTTTCATATCACTTTGGTTCAGTCTCATCAAGCCTTTACTATCGAGCCAACCTCAGGTAAGGAGAGTCAATATTTCAAGTTTCCAATCTCTCAGATCAAAGAGGATTTGGAAGATAGGTCTCAGATTATAAAAAAGAATAAGCCACATTTGAATATGTTATTTTCCAGTGTATAACAGTAACAAATGTTACATATCTTAACATAATGTAAGTTGTAATTAGACACTTGGTGATAAGGACACTTTGGGATAATTTGTATCATGCTGATAATTTATAATCTCCAGGTCACTTTCTTCCAAGGTCAAAACTTGGAATCAGAAGTTAATCTGTTCTAATTCTAGTTTTGGCTCTTGGTACATCTTTGGTTTTGTATTCACCTTTTAATTCAATTTCAAGTAAAATGGGGATGTTATTTCTTCCCAAGCCTTCAGAGTCTTAGTGAAGAGTGTAATGAATTTGTCCCGCACGTGGGGAGGACAGTCTGTCTTTGCGTGCCCCGAAGGATAGAGAGCCCAATGAGGCTGAGGACATTTGAAGGTGGAATCTCCGCCTCGAGTAATTGCTGCTTCCCGGTTTCTGTCTCTTGATTCTGGGTTTGGGATTTAAATATCTGTCCACAGTGGTCTGCAGTGAATGCTAAAGTAGTTTTGTTTTTATTTATGTTTTCAGATTTATTGATGTATCATTGACATATAAGATTATAAGATATTTTAAGTGTACAATGTGATGATTTGACATATGTGTACATTGTGAAAGGATTCCCTCATCAAGTTCATTAACACATCCATCATCTGACATAGTTTTTTTTTTTTTTTGGTAAGAACATTTAAGTTCTACTCTCTTAGCAAATTTCGGTTATACAGTACAGTGTTATCAACTATAGTCACCATGTTATATGTTAGATCCTCAGACCTTATTCTTCTTATAACTGAAAGTTTGTACCCTTTTCCCAACCCCCTAAAACCCTGGCAACCACTTTTCTACTCTCTGTTTCTGTGAGTTCAGCTCTTTTTTTCCTTCTAGATTCCACATATAACTGACACCATGCAGTATTTGCCTTTCTCTGGCTAGATTATTTCACTTAGCATAATGCCTTCCAGGATCAGACACGTTGTTGCAAATGGCAGGATTTCCTTCTTTTTAAGGCTGCACACTACTCCATTTTTGTGTGTGTGTGTGTGTGTGTGTGTGTGTATATATATATACACACACACACAATTGTTGATTTTTGCGTGTGGTGTAAGATAGTGGTTTAATTTCCTTCTTTTGCATGTGGCTGTCCAGTTTTCACAACACCGTTTATTAAGGAGACTACCCTTTTCCCATTGTATATTCTTGGCTGCTTTGTTGTAAATTAATTAACCATATGTGCATGAGTTTATTTCTGGGCTCTCTATTCTGTTCCATGGATCTAAGTGTCTTTTTTTATGCCACTGCCATACTGTTTTTATTACTATAGCTTTGTAATATCGTTTGAAATCAAGAAGTGTGAAGCCTCCAGCTTTGTTCTTCTATCTCAAGATTGCTATAGGTATTCTGAGTCTTTTATGGCTCCATACAAATCTGAAGATTTTTGTTCTATTTCTGTGAAAAAGCCCATTAGAATTTTGATAGGGATTGCATTAAATCTGTATATTGCTTTGGGTAGTATGGACATTTAACAATATAAATTCTTCCAAACCATGAACATGAAGTATCTTTCCATTTATTTGTGTCTTCTTCAGTTTCTTTCATCAATATCTTGTAGTTTTTAGTGTACAAGTCTTTCACCTCCTTGGTTAAATTTATTCCTCATCACAAGGAGAAATTATTTTCTTTCCTTTTTATTGGATCTATATGAGATGACGGATGTTAACTAAACTATTGCTGTAATCATTTCACAATATATGTATAACAAACCATCATGCTGTACACCTTCAACTTATACAGTGATGTGTGTCAATTATTTTTCAATAATTCTGGAAAAAAATTATTGCTGGTTCTTTATTCTTTTTGATGCTATTGTAAATGAGATTGTTTTCTTAATTTCACTTTCTGATAGTGCATTGTTGGTGTATAGAAATGCAACTGATTTTTCTACATTGATTTTGTATCCTGCAACTTTACTGAATTGGTTTATTAATTCTAGCAGGTTTTTTTGGTTAAGTCTTTAGGGTTTTCTATATATAATATCATGTCATTTGCAAATAGAGACAATTTTACTTCTTTCTTTCTGATTTGAATGCCATTTATTTCTTTTTCTTGCCTGATTGCTTTGGCTAGGAATTCCAGTATTATGCTGAATGGAAGTGGTGAGAGTAGGCATCCTTGTCTTGTTTATGATCTTAGAGGAAAAACTGTGAGCTCTTCACCATTGAGTATGTTAACTGTGGACTTGTCATACATGGTGTTTATTATATTGAGGTACATTCCCTCTACACCCAGTTTGTTGAGAGTTTTTAACACAAAAGGATGTTGAGTTTTGTCAAATGCTTTTTCTCCATCTATTGAGGTGTTTATGTGACTTTTATCCTTCATTTTATTAATGTGGTGTATCACATTGATTCATTTATGGATGGAAACAGAAGGGAGAATTTGGAGACAGTTAGAGATTCTTAGACGAAGCCATACTTCTCTGAAAAACTGCATCCCAAGACACAGAATATTAATTTACCAGAAGGATTTTGAAACACAACCTGTTCAAAACATGGGGACTGTGCACATGAGCAAATACAGATTGAGCATAGACATAACAAGTTTTTGTGAAACACTTTAAAAAAAACTATGCAGGACGTTTCCCGAGTGCACAGATTATAAATCGCACAGCCACATAATTCGCGAGCTGCTTTGTCCGATCCATCTGATAGGCTTTTCTGGTTGTTCTGGTGCTTTGTTTGTGGTGTGTCTTTTGAAGTCCTCCTTTAACTGAAATTAAATCGAACATACCAGTTTGGAGTCAAAGAGAGAGAGGTGAGAGCTAGGGACGTGAATTTAGGCATCACCCGGGTATTGATGGAACGCACAGCCGTGGGACTGAGAATGAGTCACCCAGGGAGTGAGTGTGGCTGGAGAAGAGAAGCGGCTGAGGACCAGGCCCTGAGCACGCAGCACTCAGAGGACAGCGAGGGGAAGTGGGCCAGGACGGAGACCAAGGAGGAGAATCAGGGGAGTGTGGCGCAAGAGGAGACACGAGAGCGTGAGTGAATGGATGAAGACTCGAGGGCAAGCCGGGGCGCTTGGACTTTGGGGATCCTGCCTTTGTGATTTTAAATGGCCTGCATTATGTAGATGGTGTTGCTGATGTGGCTTTATGAACTGGCCTCCAGGCCGGACCCTTCAGACTCCGCAGTAGCTATTTTATGAGGCGAGTGCATCCCTTGGTCTCTCAGGTATTTCCTTCCTTTGGTTTCCGGTTTTGTTGAGGTATCAATGCATCTTTTCCATTTTGTTGATGTGTCAGTGCATCTGTCCTACTTTTGAGGCTATAGAATTCAGTGGTGACTTTTCGTCACCTGCAGTAAAAAGCCTTGGCCGCGTGGACAGTGGATGCTGCGGTTCAGGTGTGTGGAGGCCCGGCAGCTCTGGGCTTTCCTGACGTGCCAGAAATCTAGCTGGACGAATAGGCCTTATGGTTGGACAGTCATGGATGACTTTTTGGCGAGGAAGTCATTATTGCCTCCATTTTACAAACAGCCTTTACAAGGCTGAGAACCACGGGCTAAGCTTACGCATCAGCACGTATATCTGTAGACACTGTTTCGGGCACATCTTTGGTAACCGACTGTCTAAAGGCTGTGGAGACACCCATAATCTGTGAGGTCGTAAAGCAGCATCTTCTCTGGGAACTAGAAGCATTGTCTGTCCATGCCTTCCAGGCATTTTGTGCTCTGGCTTGCCAAATGAAGAAATTTGAATAAAGCTAATTCTATTTACAAGATATGAATCTGACATAGTGCCCTCAACTTTAACTCAACTCGTTATTTGCCCACTGGGCATCCCTAAGATGCATGTGTGCACTATAGCTGTCAGAAGCTGGATCTGCTGATGGTGCCAAGATGTTCCTGAGATTGGGGAAAAGGAGTAAAGGGTTTTGAGAGCTTCCTTTTCCTGCTGACAAGAAATCACGTCCAACTAAAACATCCAGAACACTCTGTTGATCATTTTGAAAGAGCCAGCAATACATTACTTTGGCCAAGATCTTATTAGCGTTGGAGACCAGCCAAATGCCACAAAAAAATTGTTGAATTTGTTTACTTTTGACTACTTTGAGATCCTGGACATTTGGTTGGTGTCGCATATGCTCAGGAAGAATGCATGCAATTCATATAAATGGTAAATGGTAGCGTAAAGTGGATAGTTAAGCAAGAGTTCCTGGGGCCTGTTGCTCAGAGTTCCTATATAAAGTTTCAATCCTTTCATTCTCTTTTTTTTTTCTATTATGAGGGATATATCAGCCATTTACAAATAATTTTATATTTTGCATTTTCTTCTGAAATGCAAGTTTCTTACAACTTTATATTGATTTGGGAGTAATCCCAGCCCCTTGCTTTGGCCTCAGACCACTGTTTGGTTGTAGAGGTCATCCATTGGCCCAGGGCCACTAACCCAGCAGGCAGCGCATCCCAGCAAAGAGCAGATTCTCCTTCCCCAGAGTGAGCACTAGGATGCCGTGAACGCGGCACCCTACCTGTCAAAGTCCGAGGCGCCTCTGTGCACCGCCCACTCTGGGTGACCCGACTGGACTCGACCCCTAGTCCCATCACGTCATCTCCTTTGGACCCAGTCATGCTCCTGTGAAACCTGCCACGGTGCTGCTCACACTCCAGCATTTTCCTACTTAGGTTTCAGAACGAAGAGAGTGTTAACCCCTTTTTGCCTCTTTCTCCTCCAAAGGCCCCTTGACCCCTGGCTGAGGTATTTTAGCATGTAACCTTTGGGGTCCACGGGCAAAGCCATCCCTTCCAGGCAGAAGTATGCCCTGCTTCTCCTCCCCATGTCACTGTCCACCTGTGGACACTGAGAGAGAAGACCCCAAACCCCAGCACAAACTGTGCAGGGGACAGGTCAGGATCGTCAAG